CCTCCAACAGCGATATAAAATTAATAGAGAACAGATTAAAATAAATTGTAGACAAACAAATATTACAGAAGCAGTTCTTAATCCTGGGTGTGTGTAAGTATTGTAAGGTATGCTCCACCAGGGCTCTTGAAAACTATTTGTTAAATCCAGGGCCAGATTAAGAGCCCAGTGGGCCTGGTGCTGACAATTATGACGGGCCTAAGTACAGAATCATATCGACCAAAAACAGTAAAACACTCCCAAGCGTCATGTATCTGATGGAGATGGTGCTGGAGAGAAAGAAAACAGCAGCTATAAGAAAACACATACCCTAGGCTAATCTCTCACTAATTTATGTTTTCCTCTTTCAAGTAAATCCATCACCCCTATCAGCAGTGTCCAGTCAAGCAGGAAGTCAATGGGCACGGTAAAAGGGTGTGCCACTGACACATATCACGTAACCTGCCAAAAGGGGCGAACATGCCCAAAAAGAGGATATGTCTGCCCAAAGAATTAGAAGGCCAGCCTGGTATGAATGCATGTCAGGCTGCCTGCCAATCATGCAGCTGGCCAACTAAGGGCATACTATGCAGACAGCACCCTGAGCTTGGCATAAATGCATCTAATGATGCGCTCACTCAACGCTTTCTAAGGACTGTCCCCTAGCACTCGCTGGTCCACTTGTCTCCTCACCTTCTTACTAGCAGGCAAAAGCTCCTGGTATATGGTCTGGGACAGAGAAAAGCTGTATGTAGTGAGTGCAGAAGAAAGGGAACATGCCACAGTGTTAGAGAGACCAAAGTCAGCATTACCTTAAAGGATCACTATAGGGTCAGGAACACAAACATGAATTCATGACCCTATAGTGTTAACACCACCATCTAGCCCCCCTGGGCCCCTCATGCCTCCATAAATATAGCAAAATCTACTGTATTCAAGCCTGAAGCTGTAACTCTGCATGCTGTTAGACTCAGAAAAACAAGCAGTCTGCTGACATCATTAGAAGTGGTGGCCTAATCCAATCACAGTGCTTCCCCATAGGATTGGCTGAGACTGACAAAGTGGCAGAGCCAGCACGATTAAAAAAAAAGCCCTGGCCAATCAACATCTCCTCATAGAGATTAATTGAATCAATGAATCTCTATGAGGAAAGTTCAGTGTCTCCATGCAGAGAGAGGAGATACTGAATGTTTGGATGCATTTTAGGCAGCCATGACCCAGGAAGGATCTCTAACAGCCATCTAAGGAGTGGCCAGTGAAGTTATCACTAGGCTATAATGTAAAAACTGCATTTTCTCTGAAAAGACAGTGTTTACAGCAAAAAGCCTGATCGTAATGATTCTACTCACCAGAACAAATTCAATAAGCTGTAGTTGTTCTGGTGACTCTAGTGTTCCTTTAGCTATTTTCATTGTCAGCCAGTCCACACAAGTTTTGTTCCCATACATCCCTCTTAAGTTTCCATACTTAAGAGTATGTGAAAAGTAGTTAGGGTTGCCACCTTTCTTGGAAAAACATACCGGCCTTGCTAATTTGCATAATTAAATATGTATGGGTGACATCACATGATGTAAATCACAAGGAGTGACATAAGAGAAAATGCTGTAAAATCACCAAAAAAACTACTTAGTTTGATTCTGCTGTATAGATGGATTCCTCCCAGTGACCCCATGTCTCCCAGTGCCCCCATGTGTCGATTACTCCAGGTCTCAGTGCCCCATGTCCCCCAGTGTCCCCTAGTGTCGTGTCCCCAGGTCTCCCAGTGATCCTATGTATCACAGTGTCTCAATGCCCCATGTCTCCCTGTGCCCCCATGCCCCAGGGTCCCCATGTCACAAGGAAGACGGGAAGACTTGGGGACATGGGGAGACCTAGGGACATGGAGACACCAGTGACACTGGGAGACTAGGGGACTCTGGCTGGGACCCTGGAAAAATATGGGACACTTGAAGACATGGGTACACAGACACTAGAGACACTGGCTGGGGGACATGGGGACATTGAGACATGGGGGCACAGACACCAGGGCCACAGACACTAGCTTGGAGACATGGGACATTGAGACACTTGAGGCACTGGGAGACATGGAGGCACAGTGAGACACTGGCAGACTGGGGGCACTGGGAGACTAGGGGGCACTGGGAAACTAGGGGTCACTGGGAAACTAGGGGGCACTGTGTACCCATGTGTCTGTGCCATAATGTCTCCCAGTGTCCCTTAGTGTCTCAGTGTCTGCCATAATGTCTCCCAGTGTCCCTTAGTGTCTCAGTTTATGTCTCCTTGCAGCCTTTCCCCCCATTCCTTACTTCCCTGAGCTGTAGGCTGTCTCTGCAGGGTGGGAGTTGCTGTCTGGACTCTCTGTAGCTGCACCCCTGCAGATCAGTGAGTATAGATAGGCAGGGAGGGATAAGCTGGAACTTCCTAACCCTGTCTGTCTTAAAACACAGCGACCTACTGGCCAGTGCTGGTATTGCATAGTAATCTCTTGTTTATACTGAGAAAAATACCAGCATTTGTATTGCCAGTATAACTGCAATATTGGCACCAGCTAGGCAGCCTCAAATACTGGCTGTGCTAATAAAATAAAAGCCAGGTGGAATCCCTAAGAGTAGTGTGTGAAACAAAAAAAAAAATGTAAAAAAATTTTTTTTACATTTTTTTAATAAATCAATTGGCCTATTCCATGGGCCTGGGCCTGGAGCTGCAGCTCCATCAGCCCCTATGTTAATCCGGCCCTGGTTAAATCATTAAGGCTAGCTACATTTTCCTTCACCAGCTCTTGCAATTGCACAATCTTTCGATTATTTCTTTTAAATAATGTATCCAAATCTACATTAAGTGGTGGGATTTTCTTTAAAAGTATTCCAATTTCCTAGATCTTCCTGTACCACGTCCATAGATCTTTGTGTGAGTTGGATATTGGCTCTTATGACCTCTTTGCCCACTTTCATGGAGCCATAGGTAAGATTAACACACCATCCTGTTGGGAGTACCCTACATTGTATAGTTTGCTGCCACAGAACTGAAGATACTCCCAGTGCGCAGATCGTGGGACCCTGTCCGTGCACCACTCTTTTCCAACCATTTATGGGAAATAATGGTGATTATTCACATACAGCCCCGCCTCCCACTCTGATTTTTCCACCCTGCACCCATCTGACTGGACTAGTGGTTCTAGTACACAGGAACAAAGCCAAGCATTACCACGTCTGTCACAGCAACTGGGGTTGATAACTTTCCAGAACTGGTCTTCTTTTATTACTAAGCGAGTTTGTTGAAGGAATTGCTTTAAAACATTAGTGCGATTAGCCACTTCCAACTCACCAAACATAGTCATCTTATAAACAGGTACAGGCTGTTCTGTCCAAACTGGAATGTCAATTATTAATGGAATTACCTTTTTTCCTAATTTGCACTTATTGCACCAACTCTGCAGACCTTTAATTTTGGAAAGTACTACATTCTGACAATCTATGCCATATTCCCTAATCAGTTTCAGCTAGAGTGTTAAAATCCACTCGTCCGGGGGCGTGGCTCGACCGCCGATGGAGTAAGTCGCACACCGCACTCGCTCCCAGGCCCCGACCCGCTTAAGCCCAGACCCTAAGCAGACGGCCCGGTCCTCATGGGGAAACCTAAACGTGCAGGGACCCCGAGGCACCCTTCCTCACCCACCGTGAGCCGACAACCCGGTCCCATGGACGAATTCCTGTCCACCCCGCAGCACCTCAGAGGCGCACGTGGCGCGGACAAGATGGAGCCTTCCTCACCGAGCTCCAGCAGTGTGACAGGCTCTGTTACTGATATGCCTGGCACTGATGCACTGACACAAATGTCAGCCGACCTGGCTGCAATATCTGCCAACATGCTCACCCGTGGGGACAAAACTGCGCTGGTATCAGAATTGCGCACTGTCATCCGGGAAGAAATTGCCGCGGTACGCAGAGATCTCACGGCACTGGAACAGAGGGTGGATGATTTGGAGGAACACCGCCTCCACGCCACACACCATCAGCAGGCTGCAGATTTGGCAACCACACGGCAGGGGAACATTCTCCTTGAGCTGCGCAGACAGGTGGAGGACCTGGACAATAGAGGCCGCCGCAACAACATACGAGTGCGGGGCCTCCCCGAGTCCGACGACGAGTCCCCAAGGGAACTACTGACCAGCCTCTTCGTGCAACTTCTTGGTGAGGATGCCCCCCCCGAAATACCCATGGAACGAGCACACAGAGCACTACGTGGTCCCAGGAGTGATGGGCAACCCAGAGACATGATTTGTTGCCTCACATCGTTCCAGCAGAAAGACGCCATTATGAGAGCGGCCAGAACCCAACGCTCAATTGCTTACATGGACTCCCAGGTAATGCTGTTC